CGGGGGGCTGCGGGGAGGACATGTTCCAGCTGCGGTGCTCCGCGGCTCCCTTCTGGAAATGACAGCCGATAGCAGCAGGCGGGAGGCAGCTAATTACACCTCTGCTTCCCCGGGCGCGGAGCGAGCCTCTGGCTCCCTTCCCCGGTGATATCCGTCGGTATTTTCACGGCCACTCGGCTCTCCGTGCATTACACCCCCCTCCCCCCCGGGGACCAGCAGATCTGATGTGCGTGGCTTCGTATTTACCAAAATACTCCGGGAATAAAATAAGATCCCCTGCTGAAAGAAACGAGAAGCAGTGGCTGGGTTTGCAGCTTTCCCACTCGCACACAATAAATAATCACGGGCTTTTTTTTTTTTTTTTTCCCCCCTTCTTCCACCCTGCTCGTTGAAACAGTGTGTTTCACTGTGATAGTGTATTCAGGGGAGCGAATGTTCATTTGGAGAGATGAAAAAAAGATCAGTGTTTACTGTAAGGTTGTTAGGCTGGATGTAGTCTTGTTGAATTAGAATTAGATTTTAATAATTTATAAAGCAGGTTAGGGAAACTGTTACTAAATTTACAGCAGAGAAGTGTCAGTAAAGCTTCTTGCTGACACAATGATCCTGCAGTTTAAGTGATCTACTTTAGTCCCTGTCCATTATTTTTTTTTTTTTTTGGTAATTTAATTTTGAGAGAGTGTGCAAACATTTCTGCAGAAATGGTTACACTTTAATGATGCACGTGATGAGGAGGTGAATCTTTTTGATGAGATGAAATAGGGCCAACCAGTTCAGGTTTTAAGAATGTATTTTTGCTGATATTTCCAGAATTTGGTTTATGTAACAGGTAACTTTGTATGTTTTTTGCTGGACTGTTGAAATCCTAGAAGTGGCTTGCTAAAGTGCAGGCCATTCTATTTCAGTTTATCTGACTTTTTTATTTATTAATATCGGCTGGGGCCTGAATGCCTTGGTGATGGTGGCATTTTTTTCCCCCCCCAGATGATAAACAAGACCAGTTTAAGGTACAGATTCATGCTGCTGATAGTACCTTATATTTAGAAAGCATAAGTTGGTAGTGAAAGATTACCTCAGGAGAGATCAAAAAGATGGAATAAGGTTTTTTCCATTATTGTAATGCCAGCTGCACAGTTCAGCTTCTGAGTGTTGCACATGCTTCCTCAAAGAAGCTATGGAGTTTATCCTTCCATTTTTTTGATAGATTTAGCACATGTATATGTAATTTTGCATTACATAGTTCTTATTTTTCGGAACTTGTTTACGCTGTTGCAATAAATCATACTTTCTAAAGCTTTTCTTACAAAAGACAAACCCAAATAATGTCTGTTTTGATGGATTTAATAATTTATGAAGCATATGAGTAACCAAATATTTTAATAAAATAAGTACTCGAAAGTGTTCTCTATATTGTGGAATCAACTTCTTTTAGCATACGAGTCACTTTGGTAATTGAAGTCAACAGACATTGAGGATGAGTAATGCTTTCCAAGGACACGTTCTAAGACCCTGATCCTGCAAACGCTTATGCCGATGCTTAACTTTGCACGAGTGTGTAGCCTTACTGAAATCAACAGAGCTGCTCTTGTTAATGATCGTGTTATTAATGCAAATAGTTCTGTTGATTTCGGTGGCGGTGCACAGGCTGGTGAAGTTAACTGTACACAGAGCTGCTTGAAATATGTAGGCCTAAATTCCTCCTATCTCATTTCCCTTAAGTATTACTCATTTATTTCACCAAGATGTGATGAGCCTTTTTAACGGACAGGACAAGACTGGTAAATACAGTTGCTGGATGGATTAATTCACTGTTTAAATGTTTTCCTTTTGGTATTTCTTAGCAGTATGGAATCAGCTATAGCAGTACTACTAAGGCAAGTTTTGTAGGAAGATGCAATGCTTATTTCTTAGACCAGCTGATAGAGTTGGGAAACAAACAAACTTTTGCTTGCAGAAACCTTTTTTGGCTCTCTGCCTCTCCTTGCAAACCTTGTCTGGCTTATGCCCTTAGAACAGTTATGGCTACCACACTGCTATTTGTACCAAAATGCCAGAAAGTGGAATAACTTTGTATACAGACACTCACAAGAAAAAAAGCTGAGTGTTTCTAAAATGGAGAATAAAGAAGTAATATGTAAAATTTGTCAGTGTCAGTGAAACTGTGAAGCATAGCAATGCTTTTTTCTTTACTTTCTTATATTTCTATAAAATTTTGTATGTAGATGTGGCAAATAAACTAAATTTTTCTTCTGTCCTATTTATTTTATCCTATGCATATTGATGACTTTAATGCAAAAAACCTATTTGTACCTTTTTGTGTACCCATTCTGTAGCAGAATGAGTTGAAATTACTTCGTCCCAAAGAATACGTAGTTTAAAGCTGCAATCCTGTGTCAAGTCTACAGGTGTATGAAGTTCTATTGATGTAATGATGTCAGCATTAGGTCTGAATTTTTCCTGTTGCAGGATTTTTGGCAAATGAGGGAGACAGGTAAAAAAGTGAGTGAGAAGAATTATTGCATTATTCCATGAAGTTTATTCCATACAATTTGTATGTATGTTGGTGGGTTAGCTCTCTTAACAGTCTGTCTGGGTGAGTTGTCAGCAAGAGAGTGATGCAGAAAGAGGAAGATTTTTGGAAAATTTAGGTTAATCTTTACCCATTTCATCCACTTGGAATATGTTTGTAACATGTGTTTTCCTTCAGTAGGGATATGTCCTCAGCACCAACTACTCCTCCATCAGTGGATAAAGTAGACGGATTTTCTCGGAAGTCCGTCAGAAAAGCCAGACAGAAGAGGTCACAAAGCTCCTCCCAGTTTAGGTCTCAGGGCAAGCCTATTGAGTTAACACCCCTGCCTCTGCTAAAAGGTAAGATCAAGAATGATTTTTAATAAATAGAACAGTTTTACTCTACAGCCAACTTCTAAACTCAAAGTATTCTGTTGCCAGAAATTGCAGGGAAATTTTGCCAGCAATGAGAAATGTTTCATGCCAGTAATGTATGTATTTAAACTCTACAAAATATTTTATCTATGACTTGAGGGTGTGGTAATTGTTTGCAATACTTCTGAAAGTTTTAAATGCTAATGTTAACCTGTACCATGACTTGAATTTTCAAGGCACTCAGGCTATGTGTGAGTATTTTAGTTTGTGAATCCTCAACAGTCGACCTAAATGAACGATAATTTTCGTAAGGGTAAATTGACTTGTGAGCAGAGGGAAACTGGTTTTTAGGATCTTTCCTTGTTGTGCACGAGTGTGCAACCTGTGACACTGGTGCCAAATACAGCCCGCAGGCATATTTTGAATGCCCTACAGCAAGGCATTAGTGGGGAGATGGGACCCCTTCTCATAGCATTTGTGAATGGGTAGCTCCCAGCCCTTGGCTTCTGCTGGGTTTTGAAATCGAAAGGTCCCATGAGCTGCAGCCTCTCCAGTGGAAAGATGCTGCCAATCAGGTCTTAGGCAAGACACTACTGTTCTGAGAGCCTGCGTATCCCAGCTCCGGTTGAGTTTCTGCTGGCAGATTTAACCTCTAATTTGGGAAAAAAAAAATAAAAATTGTGATCCAGCATACTACTTTTGAAAGGATGCCAATATCTCTGTAATATCTTGAATGCTTCCCCTAAATCCCAATTGTCAGTGAATTTCAGTACAAATCCAGGGGCCAACAGCACCTCTCAGAATTATGTCCGTCTGGTGAGGAAGACGGAATCGCCTTCCATAAGTGTTTCTTTTACACTGAATTCTCAAATGGTTTATTTAGTTCTGTGATTTTTTTTTTCATTGCCATTCTTTTTTTTTTTCTGTTATAAGTAGTGAAACTAAGCATGGTTGGTGCTGATGATTCTGGAAAATAGCAGGATTAATAGGTTTAATATTATATCTGTCTCACTTTTGCTTTGTGGGCAAGTATATTTCCCTCCTCTACCTGTTTGACAAAGTTGTTAATCAGAGTATTGAAATATGTAATAAATGTGTAATTGCACTTTGTCTTAGTTCTTAACCCCACTTCTTCATAAGAAGAGAGAACTTGCAAAAACCCCTCCAAACCAACCCCCCAGAAAAAGCCTACACCTTAATGTGTGTCTTTGAATTGAATTAAAATTAGGATTGTGGGATTAATTCTAGTTGTTGTTAAAAAAACTTGGGGCTTCTTTCTGTGGGATACCAATGGCCATAGTGGGTCAAAAGAGAGGTCCATCTCGCCCCACTGAATTGTGCCTGACAGTGACTGGCTTGGAAGCATCGAGGAGAGTAGAAGAGCGGGAGGCCTGGAGTGATGCTGTACCAGAATGCTCCACCCCTTCAGCATTTCTCAATTTAGGGTCTCTTAGTGCCAGTGGATTTGACTTTGTAGTCTGCAATGAGTATTATTTTATTAATTTTTCCTGGTTTTGTGACTATGATAAAGAGCCAAATGCTCCTTTAAAATAATGTTAAAGCTCAGTTTTATACTTCTGCAGGTCATTTTTGATATGCAGTGCATTTCCTTTGAAAATACTAGTTGCTACACTTCAGAAGGTGAATGGAGTTTATCCTTTGGCTTAAATGGCTAGATTATTGCAAAACATTGAGATTTGCATTTGTATAAATGAAGAAATTTGATGTTACAATTACTTCATTCTATTGTGTAGTCCTATTCAGGGAATAAACTAGGCATGTGCACAAGCATAAGAAAAACGTTGCCTTTGTCTGAGGACCTGGCCTTGCAGAAACATAGGCATATGCAGGTGCTTAATTTGACTACTGCAGCTAGTCCCATGGATTGAGATATAAAACTATAATAAGATAAAACAAACAGATGGGGAGCAGAGAGTGTTGGTGAGACATTTATGATTAGTGTCATAATGAGTTACAGTGGTCCAGCTTCAAATTAAGAATCTGATCCTGTGAGGTAGTTTTCCCTCTTTGACTTAATGTGGATTCCCAGAGGCACAGGGATCTACCTGTGCAGATTAATTGGCGGGATTTGGGCCCAACTATCTACCCGAAACAGCAGTGGTATTGGTCCCTGCTGAAGGGACACTAGCAGTTAAAAATCATGCCACTGTTCAGAAATGTTCTTGATCTATGTTAATATTTATAACATTACGGATTGTTAAAGCTGAAACATGTGAGGAAACTCTTTTCTCTTGGTTTTTTCCATACTTTTCTTGGCCAATTGCTTGAAAGTCCTGATTTTTTAAGCTCTTAGGTTTACACTTATCTTCAAACGAGTGACTAGTCCTATTACTTCAGTTCTGTAACCATGACTTCTAATTTTATCCTTATAGTTTGGGTCTTTCAAACCAAAACAGAAGAGATTTCAGCAAAATAGCTTTTTAAGTCTCAGAATAATGAAATCAGTTTGGAGATCTATAGTTGCTAATTTTAAATAAACTTCTTGTTTTGGGTAAATTTCAAGTTTAATTAAACCTCTTCAGAAATATTTCAGTACAGGAAATTTTTAGAGGACAAACCTTGAATTCAACCTTAAACATTTCATATTTGTGATGGAGGGGCTTTGCTGACAAAAACATATGTGCTATGCTCTTTGTTGTTGTTGTTGTTACACCTATATTGCATCTTGACATTTGCAGGCTGCCTGCTCTGAAACAGCACTTTTATGGACTTCAGTATCTTCTTTGATTACAAAAATCATGTATGCAGAAAACTAGATAAATGCTTAGTCCATTCTTTGTAAGTTTTTGTACTATGCCTGTCACCATAATGATTTGAGCACCTTCCAGTAGTGTATTAAGTGACGTGACTACACATCTGTCACATCTTATCTTCTCTCATTCCTTTCCCTAGGGGCAGAGTCATATATAGTGAAATGGCTTGTTTTGGTAGTGTTTTAATGCAGTCTGTTGCTTTCTGTGAACATACATGCCTGTATTGCAAAAACAGATAGATAAGTCAGTGTTGTTGTTGTTCATTTGGTAATAAAAATGTTTCGGCAAAGAAAAATAAAAGAGACAGTATGTTTTGATGCTATGTACAAGTCTGAAAGATAACCTGCTATTTAGGAAGTGTAGTAAGAACTGGAATTTTCAGTATTGCTTATTCTAGGGAAAAAAAGTATAGACAAATGAAGTTGTTACTGTTAGGGTTTGGGTTTTGTTGTTGTTGTTGTTTTTTAATTAACAGAAGTGTGTGTATTGTATCTTTTTGTAAACAAATATTTAATGTATTTAGAAAAAAAGATGTGCCTTCTGAGGCTCTGTTGGGCTGAGTTTAGGCTTTCAAAAGCCACAAGCCAAAAAGGTGCTGTTTACTTACAGTAAAGACTTAACTTTTCTGATAATTTAATTATATTTTTATATCTTACATTGTGGCTAAATCTAATTTGGAGTTATCTTTTTGAATATGACTAATGTCCAATATAACACTTTTAAACCAGCCTTTTCTCCTTTGTTTCAAGTGTAGAGGAATGGGACAAGACTTGCATGTGGGAATTGTGATACAATTGTCCTGCATTTTCAATATGTGTACTCTTTCAGTCTCACATGCATTTTTAAATGTTGGCATGCTCTCGCCTGGTGTATCTTGCAGTGCATTATGGCTTTTGATTTTGGCTTTACTTTTCAAGAGGCTATTGGTATCAGCAAGGCTGGCAGGTCCCCTATATAACTGGTTTGTGGTGGAGCAGTCTTGGTGAAGGGCCCTTTTCTGGGAATGAGTACTTCCACTCAAAGTCAAACCCAGCCCGAGTTTGTTATCCAAGTTTGTGGGCATGCCTCAAATCATGCTTGTTCTGTACAGGAAGATAGTATTGTGTGCGCACTGGGTAGGTGTATTATTTATCGGAGGGTTATTTTACTTCCATTTTGTATAGATACTCTTTTTACTTAGAGGTCTCTAGAGGTCGATTGATAGGAGTGCGACGTTAGAAAGCAATGGGTTGGAAAAAAGTAAATTGTAGTACTGGACACGTGAAAACACATCAGTTTTGATACGACCTGTAAAAGGGGAAGGAGGAGTTCATTTGTCTTTCTGTTAGTATCTGTAATCATAGGTGAGTGTCCAGAAGATGAAGACATACATATAGATGACTAAAAAGGTCATATGCTGTATGAATATGTGTTTAACATCTTGAGAAATAGGAAGAGAACTTCCATGTAAACCACAGTATTCTTCCCATCCCCCTTGCCCACATTAAAAATACATGTTAGGTAAAGCAAAACATCCAAAAGTAAGACTGTTAAATCCATGTATCCCATTTTTGTAATTTCAAGGGGTGACTGTTTTTTTTCCTATCATTTGCCCATATTTTTCAATGATCTAATATAGTGTAGTTTGCTTTCAGGTTTTCCAAAGCTGTTGTATATTTTTATTGAAAACAGCTCAAAGTATGATTCTTATTTTTAGATAACTTTTCTTCCTTAAAATAGGCAGTCAGAACAGAAGTTCTCTGTCAACAATACCAATTGCTTTGCTACCTCAATATTATGAAATTTATTGAGCTTCTAATACATTTATCAGATAGTTTCCATGGCATTAAAGAATTGCTGTAGTGGCAACAAAAGAGCATTGCATGGTTGGAAAGGGAAAATCTTTTTACCTGCTGTTTGCTTTTGATCATTATATTATTTCCCTATAGTTGAGATTTTATTATAAGCTTTTCTTATGAATCATATCTATAGGTCAAATGCTGAAGTTCCTAAATAGTAAAAAATCCTACCAACTCTAAAAGACTTTTGACTGAGAACTGCAAGATGTACGTGCACCTTCTTTTTCAAATACAGTTACTTTTGGATTTTTTAAGATCTTCTTAAAAAAGTCTGGGTTTTTCAGACTTGCAGATACCACCTTCAGAATTGTACATATGAGAAATAGTTATGATTTGAGTTGTAGAAGACGAAAGATAGACCTTCTATTTTTCT